GGTGAAACTTTCTCAGAATACATCTCACGGAATCAAGTGGCTCAAGATTGCGAGACACCGTAGTTGTTCCTTCTAGTTTAATTGATTTAATTCATGTTTTTTTTTAAAAAAAAAGAATAAACTATGAGCGAAAGACGAAGGCACCCTTGCTGAGACGAAAACCGTAAAACATAAAACTGTTGCAAAAGAAGCTGCTCATTCTAGCGTATCCTCGCAGTCCGAGTTTATTCAAAATTATACGTAGCCATGCCTCCCTCCTTTGCAAAATTTTAGATTAGAGACCGTACCTCCTCATTTGATCTATCTGCCATCCTTCTACATAGAAATTGAAAAAAATCCGTGTTTGGCGTATTCTGATCAACGGAACCCACCATATCGGTAGTCGCTTCTCAAAAATGAAGTTGTCATGAAGATCGGTCGTTATCGGTCACCTGGTCTGTCCTCCACAAATGCGCACAAATTCGGGTCCCTCGTTGATTCGCCAAGTCGCACCGTTGGAAGTTATCGTGATCCGCGGGTTGGAAACAAGTCGAATGAGAAGACGCGCCCCATCGGGAACGGAAAAAGAAACCGCGAGCAAAGAGGATGCTTAGCGTGTATGACAGGACTGATGGAATCATTTAGCCAAGTCAGACCGAAACCCCGCCTCCCCCTTTTCCCTCCGCCCTCGCCCTTCCGTGTTCTCCGCCTGTCGGCACTTGGCTTTCGGCTTTGAAACAGCCGGTGACATTTACCTTTGGCGGATGAAAGAGGGACGCGAGGGGGGAGGGGGGAGGGGGGGGCTCGGGGACGGAGTGGGGTTGAGGTAAGGGCCCGCATGCGCCCCACCGTGCTTTTCAACAAGCTCAACTTATGACCTGCCTCCAGACTTCTGAGCTTTTTCCTCGAGCCTCGTTGCAGGACAATGGGATTGTCTGAGCGGTCTGACAGTCGCGCGCCGATCGGCATCCGGCAGAGGGCGTCATGCCGGTTACGAACGATGACATTGCGCCTCTAAACGGCTCTTTGATCGATGATCCGAGAGAGGGAGGAATATTGAAACTATTTTTTTGGAAATCCACCAGCCGCGAGCTGATTATTGAAATTGATAGACAAAGCTATAGACAAAGAAGACATAGAGAGTAATGAGCGATCCTATCGCTTGAAATAGGTGATTCCTATTGACTAAGGGAGAAAACGATGGACTAACTATGGGGTCTTCCGTGGGTTACCGTTAGTTGCTCTATTACCTACTTTAATTGTCCATTGCAACCACCCGCTTCCACCAATAGGATTCCTATATTTCCATTTCGTCTTTTTTGTCAAAAGCTTTGTCTATGAATCTCAATAATCGGCCCGCTGAGATGATTTCAAATGTAGAGTAGGTCAATAAGTCTGAAGGAGCATGAATGTGAAGCCGGTTCCTTCGTGAAATTGTTTTCAGTCTATTTCCTTATGAAAAGGATCTCGATCCCTGGTAAAAATTGGCAGTAGAATGTGTGTTCCAAAATACTATAGACCTATAGCCGGCTGTACAATTTCTTATAGCCTTTTATAGCCGATGGCGATTCAGCAACAGCCAGACGATAAAGTTTATGCTAAACGTTACTAAATACGGATACTAGGACTTAGTTAGTTTTTGGACTACCGCTCTCGTTTTGTTCCGTAGTATCTTGATTTATTTTGCGAGGAAAGCTCCGTACTTTTGAAGGATGCCTGTCATTCTTAATATGTTGGAGCGCCTTAAATTTCTTATGATACTGTGCAATACCTCTGGTGTGAAATAGTTGCTTCAGACGCCGTGGCACGCTGCGGCGCGGTGGGCGGGCAGAGAGCGCGAAACGCGCATTGGCGCCTACAAACCTAACAAGGATACTTCACGCATTGCGCAACGCGTGAAGTATCCCTGTTAGGTTTGTAGGCGCCAGTGTGCGTCGCCGCGCAATGCGTGAAGTATCCCTGTTAGGTTTGTAGGCGCCGATGCGTCGCCGCTCCGCTTTGTGTTAGGCTCTAATATTTAATCTCGCGGAGTCTGCGTTTTTCAACTCATGATTTTGAAATGTTTGCACACTCTGTATGGACCATCTCATTTTAATTGATGAAAAATAAAATGTTTTAAAGGAAAATATAATGTGTGTTTTGTAAATATTAAGGTAGTTCCGTATCAAACTTAATGATTTCCAAAGCACACGAATTTCTACACAATTTCTTATAGCCTTTTATAGCCAATGGCGATAAAGTGTACCTAAAGCCCGGCGATAGGAACTATAGCCCGACTGAATACTTTTTTATAGCTTCGTATAGCTCGGTTATATGATTTGCTCCGCTTTCTACAGCCAGCTATATGATTTTCAATAGCCTTCTCTAGTCAGCTATAAGAACTCCTATGGTATTTTGAAACGCAGCTTGTTTATCAGCAATTTTTACCAGGGAATACTGAGGTAAAAAAGAGAAAGAAAATAATGATGAAACTTGGGTAAGGCAAGCTAGGACGAGTTTTACTCCGTTTTCCATTTTCTCCCGAATACATTACTCATCGCCTTCATCTTTGACCAGTGGCATCGCGTGTATGAAGGGAAAGGCCCCCCCCCCCCCGAACAAAAATCAAATATTTGTTTCTATAATAAAATGATATTTTGTTATGAAAATAACAGAGACTCGAGTTCGAGTAGTTATGTGGATCAATTTTTAATTTTCCGGGGGAAGAATCTCCCCAAACCCCGGAGTCTCGTTTGTCCACATTTCGCCCCCGAAGTATCAGCCCTCACGCTGCATCCCCCTTACACTTGCTTTGTTTTAAGCTCTGCAAATCGACAGATTGTTCTTTACTTCTCTGTTTCTGTTGTTCTCTCTCAGGTATACAAAAAGGGAAACACTTTCAATTACTCTTCTCTCAAACAATAAAATTCGGTAGCCGAATCACTACACAGTTTTGATTAAGGTATCTTGAGCAAATCATTTTTTTTTGGGGGGGGGGTGGAGGAGGGACAAAGATGCAATCGCTTGGTTTGGTTACGAGTGGGTTGCAGACAACATAGAGCGGTTAGAACTGCTCATCTATAGATATCTTCCAATCCAGGTCTGCCTTCAATTTCGACGCATATGCAAAAAACATACCGGAGAGCGCGAATCGTTATCTATTTGCATGGACCTCACCATAAACTTTTGATGAGGCCAACTAAGAACGAGGAAATCTATCGGTGAATATCGTCAACCTCAAGTTCACTTTCAACATTGCCGCAAAAGCAACAAACTTAGCAAGGTGGTTTCCAGGATCTTTCAGTGAAAGATTTTTGAAGCCTCCGAAAACACCATCCAATGAACTTTGACCCGACTATCTCTTCTGTGGGGCTATGCGGCCGGTACACACGAACTTTAGGTATGGACGTAATTATGCTAAAAGGAACTACGTACATCACACGCAAAGCATATGCACATAGTTCTTTTTAGCATAAATACGTCCATATAGGTCTACAGATACAGCCTAATAAAAGAATCAGGCATCAAATTGAAAAAAAAGAGAAAAAAAAAGTGTCGGCGGTCAGCACAGCCGAGTTCGGAGAGACGCGTTTGGGCCTCGTTTTCTAACTTTTCTCCCGAATCTAAGAGACATCTCATTCGCAGTGTGTAGCAGGAGCATTGCGAATTCACGCCTCGCGCCATCGTCCCTTCAATTTTACAGATGCAACACGGACATCCATCAAGCACGAATTGTTGTATCTGCACCGTCATCAACGCGCGTCCTTTTCCTTGCTCTATTTCCACGTAGTGATGGTTTTGTCAGTCTCATTCGTAGTTAGTGAGAGCGGAACATTGTGAGCACACGCTTAACTGTCGCCTTCAATTTTGCGAATACAACACGGACACCCATTGAGCACGAATAGTTGTGCGTCTGCGTTGTGATCAATGCGCGTTAAGGTGTCTCGTATTTTTGAAATTTGACGAAAGATGATAATAAGTTTGCTGAAATTATACTATGAGGAGCTTGACGGACAAGACGCATTAGTGCAATTTTTGCTATTCCAACAAATGCGTGTTTTAAGTTTTGAAATTACAACCACGTGGAGCCATATGGTAAAAAAGAAGTTTGAACTCACTTTTTGATGCTTTAACGTTGGATTTTAAAAGAATGTGCTTCACGTCCAGTTTTGTTGAAATTATCAATATCTCAATTTTTTAAAAAAAAACTGCTTTTAAGCGCTTCGTCCTCCAAGCCCCTCACATGATGTGACTAAATCAATAATAATCAATCTGATCATTTTGAAAGAAAGGAAAAAATATGAAGTAAACGCATTTTTGAAGGTCTCTATAGCTCCCTAAATGACGCATGTCTCAACATTGGTATTTTATAAGAGCTGTATTAAATCAGGGAATTTTATTTGACGACTACCCCCAAAAATCCCGAACCGGGTCAAATTGACCCAACAGTCTCTCCTGGGAAAGTTTACACACGGCGATTTCGGAAGCAAACCGCTCTTAATCCGTTCCTTGAAGAATAATTTGAAGCTTCTACAAAATCTCAAGAAATACTGAAGTGGGTGGTTTTCTGTCGCCTGAGGCATTCTTCAGGATTCCTAGTCCTTTTTGGGCCCCAAGTCGAGACGGCCGCGAGATCCGCTTAAATGCGTAATGACTTGATCCCCCTTCTTGAAGAATACTTCATATCTCTTTGCTAATGAGGGCCAACTTAAGAACGATCACAAAAAAACCAAGAAGTCGGCCAAGAGGTTCAAATCGTCAAGGTAAATTACGCAGGAACGATTTGTATTCAGGAGTATGAAGGAACGTGATGTTGCGCCAGTAGCTTACCAACGAGGTGATAATTTTAAAAAAAGTGTCTCTTATCCTCAGAGACATGGAAATAACATAGACAATAATTCAAAAACTATTAAAATTAATGTATTTAAATACGGGTCAATGACCGCGCATCAAGTGAACTCAGAGGTGCTGCACTCTATCAGCTGAAGTAATAAGTTTAGTAGAGTCAAAACAAACAAATAACGATTTGAGGTTATGTTCGTCCCGGTCCCGCAGCCGCAGAGGCGCAGAGTGATGATATGAGCAGATTTACAAGAGTTTGTGTGTCGTGCTAAGTAAATTCAATCTTTTCATTGCTTACTTTGGGTGTCATCAGTACTTCCCTCATTTATTTTCACTAGTGCAGTCGACTTAATACTTTTCATTAACTTACTCAGTACATTGTAGTTCTAAGGCAGAGGGAGAAGAATAGTTAAACTTTCTTGTCATCCTCACGACCGGTACGTTATGTCTTCTCTTGTAACAACTCTTTCAACTTTATCCCCACATTTTCGGCTCTTATTTCCAATTTACCACCTATTGACTGTATAGGTGGTCGTAGGTTGTTATGAGTAAGAACTGAGGGTCGCATGAAGGACTTATCAAGCAGCCGCTCTTCATTGCTCACGAAGACTTTACCTAAGCCCTGAGCCTTATCACAAATCCAACTCATATACAATTTCTTTCTTTGAAATTCCATTCTATGCTCAGTTAAAGCCTGCCTGACTTTAAAGTACAGAGGAAATAAGAGCCTATATTAAATAGCAGAAGTGCATGACCAGCCAATCCTCCTGCACTTATTTTTCAGCTAAGCAGACACTTAACAACCTCTTTCCCATTTTTTATGGACAATAACATGGTAAATCGAAACCATATTTTTTTTTCCCGATCAGCCAACTTTTTGGCAATAATACACGAGACGCTTCTGTTATATTCCTTGGCTCAAAGCCCTGTTACCTCTATTCTTTATCAGTAAATATCTTACCTATCTCTCTCGTTTATTTTCAGGATGATTGCTATTTTGTCTCTTGTGTGTCCCAAAATTGTTCCCAAATCAGGCTTCCTAGGTTCATCCAGTGTTCTCATTCAACAACTGAACATGAGTTTTGCCGTGGAAAAAGGTTAGAAATTTATTTCCTTATTATCAATTTATTTCTTGGACTGTTTTCATCCATCCAAAAATTAAGCTCAAGACCAGAGTAGTTATTTTGTGATTAAAGAATGTTTAAAATTTAAAGGTACACTTACTTAGTTTGTTCCGATACTGATTCAGCATGCCTTAGACCTTGTCCACACAAGCACAGTCTGAGGAACTTTGGTCGAACTTGTTCTAGTAACTTGTCGTTAATTACATATAACTTGTTCCTGGAACCCTTAGTTTGCGGAACTAATTTGTCTTGACTGCACTCATGTGGACAAGGTCTTATGTAGGTAGAAAGTAGTGTCATATAGCAGACATGGCTGAATTTGATCTCCTGCTCCTGCGATGGTTGGGAAAATCTATAAAATAATGTGGGCCCAGCAAGCATCCTACTAAAAATTTTCAAAAAACAGTTCCTCTTTTGAATGAGTTTGACCTAGGTATTGTTCAAATAATTGATCAGAGAATTTGAGAAGTGTTGTCAAATTTGTATGCAAACCATGCCTATAAAATACTCTTGCTGTTTCATTGCTGGGTGACCCCTATTACTAAGTAAAGTTTTTTACAATTTGGTTATTGCCAACCTCAACAATATTTGTTATTTTCTGCGCAATTTTAGCTGACTATTTGTGGTCTAATGGTCTTGAAGCATCAACATCCAAAAATCCATAAATTTTGAATTTTTTTTTATTTGCAGAGAAGTACATGAAAATGTCTGCAGAAGAGAAGCGGACTCTGACTAAATCCAAAAAAGTCTCTTTAGCGGACATTGACACGTGGGATGTTTATTTATCCAAAAATTCAGATCAACTGAGGAATCAATGTAAGTTTTTTATTTTTTATGAAAACTGTCTGTCTTTCTTGCTCAACTTTCATTTTGAAAAATTCTAGCATAGATTGCAATGGCTATATTTGCCCAGAAATCATGAAGACTTAATAGTGGTGGCAAAGCTGCCTAATTGTAGGAAACTCTTTTATGCTTGATATTCATAATCACAGCACTCATAGACTTAGCAGAGCAATATACTAAACAAATTGAAAAGGATCATATGTATCTTCATGGGGTCAAGGCCATTTTTTATTCGATCTTTCATAGATATTGGTGAATAATGTCAATAAAGACCAATCCACCATGTCATTAATTTCTGTGGACGAGTTGTGAGACCCTACCGTGCATTGGTAGCGGAAAAATTAAATGAAATGTATTTTGTATGGGAGCAGCCAGATGCGCAATGACTGACCCGTGAGGATTGGTCACAGAGTACATAGAGACATAATGTAAGTGGGAGAGTTGATGCCATGTTCTGCTAGATGAGTTCAGAGCCCAGTGTGTGCCAAGCTCAGGTCACTTTTTCGATACATGTTGGATCCAAAATGGCGGTGTGGATTACGTGGTACAGTGCATGCTCGCAAATTCGAAATTCAAGGGACCAACGCTTTTTTTCGAATTAAAGGGTTTTCGAATTGGCGAGATTTCGAATTACAAAGAGCGGAGGCAAAAAATTTTGAATTAGAGAGATGTGTACATTAGCTCTATAATTCATAGTGATGGTACCAAAAGCTCTACAGTTCGAAAATTGAAAACACTTTTTGTTATTTTTTTTCGTATGGAATAAAGAGGAGGAAAATTTAGAAAAACTACATATCATTATTTAAAGATTAGAGCTTTGCCATCGGCCGATACAACTTTGAATTATAGAGGTCGGGCGAAAAGATTTCGAATTACAGAGTATCCTGAATGTCAATTCAAATTACAAAGCATGCGGAGCCGGTCACTTTGAATCATATAGCTAATTAACTAGTCGACTTGGCGCTCACAATTTTCGAATTAAAGGGTTCTTTTCAAGGGATCTGTCTCGCCTTCGAATTAGCGAGCGTGCATTGTAATTCCTATCTTCTTTGTTTACATTGGATGGCCGGGTGCCCGTGTATCGCAAATAATCGATCATGTATTGAAAAAGAGACCCGGCGTCACACAGGAGTCTCGGAATTCGGGATCTGGAAAATGCTTAAAAGTGGCGCTAGCTCTCCCACTTACATTATGACTCTATGCACTCTATGGGATTGGTCTTGCTACTGATTTAAAGTGCTGCTTTTCCAGCATAAAGTTATGTATGGAAGCTTTGATTGTCTGAACAAATTTGAAATGTGAGTAGCTCAGCAGCTAAATCAGCACAATGATTGCAGCAAGTTTTCTTTCCTCTCATTACATTTTATTCAAAACAAATTCTGTATTTTTAAGTTATGAATTTTAACTTGAATTTTTCTTTCACAGTGGATGCACGCCTGAAACAAGGCTCTCTTGATGTAGAAGAATTCACAGTTGACCCTGATCTTGCGAAGCGTGTCTCAATCTTTGATGGTGATATCACTGGCCTGTTTGTTGATGCCATCGTAAATGCTGCAAACAGCCGTCTACTGGGTGGTGGAGGAGGTATCTAAGTTCATTTTAATTTATTTGCTTCTTTCTACAGTACTCTGTCATTCACTCATTGTGAATGCTTGCTGTGGTTAGTGGAATTTCAACGTATCATGAAGACTATTATTTGATTTTGAATGGTTGTTTACAAGACAAGACCTTAAAGAGGTTGACAAATCCCTGAAAAGTCGAGGAAAAAGGGGAAAAAGTTGTTCATTTGAAAAAATGAAAGTCAGGCTTGATTTCAGTGCAATTTTTCTAAGTCCCCTGACAACTTGTTTAATTCTTCATTGACAGGTGCATATTTTACAGCATAAATTGTTCTAAAATCATGAAAAAAATGACTCCAGATCTTGCAATTTGGCGCCGGTTAAATTCCTACCTTATTTGATATTATGTACTCCTTGACCTCTTGAGCACAATGAACCATTAAAATCGAACACTACAGGTGCCAATGTTGAGAAAAATGGGGCTGCAAATTGAAGTTCTTGGCATTGTTACACGCATATTCTTGTTGTGAAAATACAGGTCTGTTGCTGTGTATGTAGGCATTGTGCTGCATATTGTTTTCTTTAAAAGAAATTTGTTGGTTTTTGTCTATCTTATCCTCTGGGCCAGGGAGGATTCAAAAATCCCTTCTCAATCACCACTCAAAAGTTGCAATATTTCCGCTGTGTAATGCTCCTTAAAATGCAAGAAAATTTATTTTATCCGTTCCACTTTTCCCAAGATTGGAACGTAGAATGTTCAATATTTAAAACTTATCGTCTTTAGGAGGTTATAAGAAACATCATATCAAATAACATCAAAATTTAGTCAGTGCCAGATTTCTTTATATTGTATTGGTAGTCCTTTACAACAAATTTAAAAAAAGAAACATCACAACCATTCTTGTGGAAGCAAATAGGTAAATGGACGGATAAGCCTTGCGAACAATGCAATGCAATTAAGCCCCCTCTGGCTTTCACTACTCCATTTTACCAAGCCATGGAGAGTCAGGAAATTTTGCTGTCAAACTTAGAATTTTTTTTTATCTTGCCAAAACTTTTGAATGGCTTCTATTCGACCTTTCCTATGAAAACAGCTGTAGAAACCATGATATTCAAATGTAGATAATTGCATCTCAGGATTTGCCAACTGTCAGCTCTCGTTTTGTCATAAACGAGACTGTCAAATTCCTTTGATTGCTCACGCTAGTTTATTTAAGGGTGCAGAAATATGCTGAATTCGGTGAAAATCACAATAGATAGAAAGTGGATTGTTCTTATAGCAAACCATTTTTGTATGCCTGGTCAACAATGTGATCCCAATCGTGCACAAGCAGTAATTCAGCAGGTCTAACATTACAATGACCCATCAAAAAACCGTACCAAAAATTTAGTGTACATCTCAACTGATTGTTTTGAAAGTTAAAATATACAACAGATTTAACCATCTTCCAGTACAAGAACCTGTTCTGTTCGCATGTCAAGTGTCAGCTATAAACGTTTTTAATTGTGTCTGAATACAAGGGAATCTATAATGTAATTAACTTGATTAAGAAAAAGGGGGGGAGGGAAAGAATTTTGTCTCAAAACGCCAATAATTATTTATGGTTTAAGTACGGACAGATGATTGGGTATAAAATCTCTGTTATCCCTTTATTATTTTTTCCCATTGCAGTTGATGGAGCAATTCATAGAGCAGCTGGACCTTTACTATTAGAGGAGTGTAAAACTTTGAAAGGCTGTCCAACAGGTGATGCAAAAATAACTGGTGGTTATAAGTTACCAGCCAAATGTAAGTCATTCTAGAGTTCTCAACACATTCTAGCTTTCAGGACATGAACGGCATGGAATTATAGATTGCTGCCTGCAAATTTTTTCATTTGTATTTTTTCTCGCCTTGATACTATTAGCATTGACTTTTTCAAAATTTTAGCAGTCACAAATTTAGAGTCAATTCATAAATTTTGGGATGCATTTAATTATCGATTTATTATCCAATATTGTCTGAAACAAAAAAGGGGTACACGCAAAACTAGTCTTATCTTGCTCACAGGAGATGGTCTTTTCCCAAAGTTTCGAGTTGCCTAAAAATTTATGGGAGACACAGTGAAAAGACTTATCACAAATGTTTCCAAGTCAGGATGGAAATTGTGACGCAATATACAAGTTACAGCAATGAAAGGCGGGAATACATAATCATCAATTTTGCAGTCAATTTGTATACATCATTATTATACATACACATACACATTGATTCCTATACATTGTTCTCATTTGAACAGTCTGATTCGCACTCTATTACGATTAAATCAGAAACTCGAGGCTCCTAATCTTTTTCCCTTCAATTATGTGATATTGTATGTTTTTTGTCCAGATGTAATTCATACTGTGGGCCCCCAGGACGGTTCAGATAAGGATCTTAGGAGTTGCTATGAGAAATCACTGCAATTGTGCATTGAACATGATATACACAGTGTTGCTTTTCCATGCATCTCCACTGGAGTTTATGGTAATTTTGGAATTTTATTTTTCTACCAGGGGTGCAGAGAGTTCTTTGCCTTCATAGTTTTTAAGGCAGCCTTCACATATTTTGATTGGTATCCAAATAAGACTTATTTCCCTTCTTTTTTTTTAAGGCAGCCCTCGTATTGGTGTTTACTTAAGACTGCACTTCACTATTTTATTTGTATTAAAGAAGGCGCTGCAGTTTCCTTTGCAAGAAGTAAAGTGGTTACTAGTTTCCTTCTGAAAAAATAGAGCATTTAATGCCAAAACCAAGGCATAGCAACCAATTAATACAAATCAAAAATAAATATTCAAATCTACAAAAGAAGATTTTAAATGCAGATCATGTAAAATAGAGAGGAAACCATTCATCACATGGTGTTGGCTTGCCCAATATTAGCATAAAAAAAAATATATTGTGATACATGATGTGGTCGCTATTCATCTCTACCGGAGTATTTGTAGATCTTACACTGTAGAAATAGCCAACAAATAGTATAACCACAACGCATGCCAGTCTTGAAGGTCCCCATGGCAATTATTATTGGAACCTAAAGTTGCGAACAGACAGGACCTATAAAATCCAGCAAACTTAACATTACTATCAAGGGTAAGCAAAAAGAAAAAATCTGCCACTTGATTCATGTCACAGTCCTATCTGAACGTATTTTGGCTAAACGGAAGTGAGCATCAATTTCAGTTCCTGTTACTAAAGTTCTTTTTATAATGGTTTTCAAAACCATGTAACGTAATGAGAGTCAAACATGGGTTTTACATCATGTCCGGACTAAGAGTTAGTTAAAACCGTTCGGCACCAGCTGATCTTTTATTAACGCAGTGATCAAAAAACTGCGAGCAGTAGGTTGAGAACGAAAATCACCAAGTTTTAAATAAAGTTTGTCACTATATAGAACCGAAATATGACAGAAATGTTGCTCAAAATTGAATTGAACGAATTTGGAAAAGAATTAGAAAGTTCGTCAAATTTCCACACTGTGATGCACTTTCACTAGATGACTCTTGATTAAGATTCGCCTGAAGGGCAGAGAAGGCGTGACATGTAGAAAAAAGGGGTCAAAAGATAGTGAAAGACCTAGATTTTTAGGCAGCGCACGCTTTAATAGACTTGCCGACGTTACGGGTGGTGAAACAACAAGTCTATGCGTGATTTGCTGGCTATAATCTAAGTAGCTATCAGTTGCAAGTCTAGTAATTAAAGTAATGGAGATGTACTGAATGATAGAGTTAAAAGAGGATTTGGAATCGAAAAATGAGCTTTTGTGAGACTGGAAAATTGGACTAAGAAAAATATTGGAAGATGTTGACAGTTCCTTTTGAGGATTTTAGAATCTCGGATAGCACGTTCTGTCAAACAAAAGTAAGCACCATGGAAAAGCATTGTGAGCATACAAAGGTATGAGCTCAGCGGTCCGCAGCACCTGCCAATCCAGCCTCCCCTCTCCATTCTTTCCCCTATGGTGCTTGGTTCTGTTCAGCAGTAATAGATCCATATGGCCGAAATCTGGCGGCCGAAATCTCCTGTGGTGTAGTGGTTATAGTGCCTGGCCCTATGACGAAGAGGTCCCGGGTTCGATTCCTGGCCAGGTTACCTGAGTTTGATGGTCTCAGATTATGGTCACCTGGGGCTGGTGGTAAGCGTGGGATTAGCCTATTGGGGCTATTTGAAGCTTGTAAAAAAAAAAAAAATGTAATAAAAAAGGAAGCAGAACAATCCTTAAAGTATGCAGTTATAGAATTTGAAACTTAACCATCACAGAATATGAAAACAGTGGTGATTTCTGTAGTAATCACCAGTCAGCAGAACTAGAGAAAATGCTAGAAGAATACAATCTCAATGCAGCATCTCAATGAGAACAGTAGTGTTTCAGACAGGCCATATAGTTCGCACAGTTTTGCATTACTGGAGGTCAGAGCTGTGGTTCACCTCCAATGATTAGGAATTCTTGAAAAAACAACCATCGCCTAGGGACACAAAAATAACTACTACTAAGAATCCTCATAGAAAGAAAAATCGATTTTATCGCTTGAAATTTCCCCAGAATATGTTTCATGTATTATAGAATAACAAGGGAAATTTTGCAAAAATGATGTTACACAGCTTTTCCTTTAAAAAGAAAAAAAAAAGGAAATATGACCCAGACTTTTAATGTTGGAGACTGAGCTCTAGCAAAGGCAACAAGGATCACAATTAACATGACCCTTATTTTTGTCCTCTTTTAAACCCTTCATCATTTTATTCATCAAAATGGTAATTATTTCTTTCGTAATCATCAGGTAACTATCTTTTTTTTTAATTTCAGGATTTCCCCATGAACGAGCATCCATAATTGCTACAACAACAGTTAGAAAGTTTTTGCAAGATAATCCTAGCGTAAGTATTCATAGTTTTGGAAACTTAACTACAACAGTATTCTAGCTCAAAAATATTTTTTTCTTCTGCACTTAGTTATCCAACTAATGGCAAACAAAATTATATGTGTCTCCTCTCTTTCTTAATACATTAGGGATGTTGGAAGATTCAGAAGTAGCCTTGAAAATAGGCATATCTGAAGCACATTATAGAAAGAAACACATTGGCCAGTTCAAAAAGATTAATACTGCTTTTTATGACTGAAATAAAGAGGTGTATAGATGAAGCTGCTGAGAGAAGAATTCTCAATAGCCTGAAGTTTATGTCGGCACATGAGGCAATCGACCACCCATTGGTGCATCAACCTTGATTCCATTGCAACATGACCGCTGTAAGTTCAAATCTTGAACAAGCGATCTCATTCTTAAGAAAAAAAGAAAATTTTTTACTTCAAAAAACGATAATATTGCCAAAACGGTCAAGACATATAACCTCTCGTTACAATTGCAACCTGAAAATAAATAAGGAACATCGGTGGAAGAATGGCAGGATACACATTAGCCAATGCTTCTCCTTATGTCATGAAAACTGTTTGGACGATATTTTTCCGTTTGAAACGAGGTTGGATTTTTAGTGACTTTGATAGTCTTTTCTTAGTTACAGCTTGATCAAATGAAAAAAAAAAATGCAGACATTGTCCTTTTAATGATCTTTCTGGGAATGAATTGAAGAAAAAATTGTCCAACAGCTTCATTACTTTTTGTGCCAATTTCTTCTGTTTAAAAATAATAGTACCAAAAGTTTGAGTTTCTTGGTTATAATATCTCATACTACTTTAAATTTTAATTTAAAAACTTCTCATTGTTATTCTTGAATAGAAAGTACGCAAACTCTTGTCCCTTTTGGGACAAATTTCATGTGGAAACTTATTTGGGTTTCAAATTAGGGACGTAGAATTATAAAAATTATCTGCAAGAAGTTGAGATTGGCCATCATTTACCCAAAAGTCTGTCCTCAAATTTTGCTGAGTTTCGTCCGTCTGCTTTGCTGATACTGTGGTGAAAGAGTAGCGAGATGTAGCGAGAGTAGAGACCCTGTCTTTACATGCTGTTTTCATGAAATTTGTCCCAAGGACGAATCGCAAGAATGAACTTCAGTGATTTTTTGCAATTACCATCTCCACGTGATGCGGATCTCACGTCTCTGCAAAATGTTTGCACAGGGAGATCGATTATTAAAACCGGAGTATTTAAATGACGTTCAGATAATAATTGGGCTATATTTTGCAAAAAATAACCAAGAGCATTCCATTGGTGCAATGATTGTGCAATTTTTTTTACCTTGGAAATGTAAACTGATCATCCAAATAAGTTTTATTTTAACTCCCAATAAACTATAAATTCTTGACAAAAATTACCTTTGTAAATTTAATTTTTTACACCATTTCAGGGATTTTTTTGTGAGGAACATAAGTTGCACAATCCCAGCGACAGTAGAATGCTCTCGGTTCATTTTCGCAAAATGTAATCTAATTGAACACACTTAATGTTGAAACAAATTATTTTAACAAAACAAACACCCTTTTTTTTCTCTAGATTCCACTAACCTCTTCCTAGACAAATTGTACATATTGAAGCTTATCCTATTTCTCTGTTGCAGATTGAGAGGGTGATATTTTGTGTCTTTCAAGAGGTGGATGTCAAAATCTATCAAAATATCCTCCAGAAAGTTTTTCCTGTGAATTAATGCAATTTTGGCGCAGGGTTATCATTGGCAAAAGCCTCGTCTCCTGTCTGAGGATGTAATGCTTACCTTATGCTCCCCTCACCACTGCAGTCTTTTAAATTTACAGTGTTTGACGGTTCAAGATTTTGCAGATTTTCTTTTCAAATTTTCTCAAAATCATGACCATTCACCAAGTCAAAGAAAAATAATGGAACCATGCTTCAAGTTAATTATGATGAAGAAGGTGTATACTCGCCTCAAAAGAAGGATTTCTTGTTTTTCCCAACAGCGCTAAAATCTGTAACTTAAAGTTTATTCAGTAAAAATTAAGAATAATTAGGTAGCAGAAAATTATTCTAAAATTGAAATGAAAGGACCTAAGAAATTTTTAAAGCAACACAAAGAAACATGTTTGTCAGCCTCTAAACTCAAATGGTTCCAATCTTCGAAGGAAGGAAACCAAAGCCTCTTGCCCATTTTAAGCATTTATATATATTTTGTAACTTTTTAATCAAACTTCTAACCCTAGTAATTAGCTGTGTAATTTGTAAATAACAAGAAAATGACAGGTTACCAAGTCTCGAATGTTGTGAGCAAGGAGCAGGATGTGATGAAAGTTAAGTGTCTTTTAGATAAAGTTGAATATGTATCCGCAGTCAACTCAATGTTTTATCAAAGTGAAGAGAAAAACTATGCAATGTTTGAGTAGGGTCGATCATTTTCAACTGAGCATACCTTTTTGTTATGTGATATAATGTAATTGCGTTCAAAACGCTCTAATATGTATTTTTTCTCAAAGCCCTAAACATCTGATTTTTTTTTAAAATTAAAATCCCTAGTATGATTCCTCTATTATGTTTTCTGTGAAAGTTTGTTTTTTCATTTTCTTTACAGACCCATAAATTCCTAGGGATTCCCAGGGTTAAAATATTGTTAAATAGGCGAATGAAAGTAACATACATTCTCTGGTTCCCCTCCCCCCCTCCATTTTTTTTTACCGTCAAAATTATCAACTTCTTTTCAGTCTGCATCTCTACAACTTAGTCAGAGACAAAAACCTTAGTTTTTACTATATGTTACACAGTTTATAATAGGTTTCTTGATTTTTTATTCAATTTTCGAAAATTTTGTAATTTTGAAGTAATAAATTGTTTATTTTTCACCCAAAATTTAACTCCAGTTTTCCATCTTTATTTTATGTGTCTCATTCAATAACTACCTACCTACGTTTTTAGTACTATCCTCCATTCCTCTCATTGCTTTTTCCTCAATTGGACTGGGTAACAACTCGCTTTATCACTCATTTGGTGTCACGTGCCCTCCAGATCATTTTGAAAACAAGGAGCNGGGGGGGGGGGGGGGGGGGGGGGGGGGGGGGGGGGGGGGGAGGGGGCAAGGGAGTAGAATGCCTCTATGTGTCGCCCCTCCATAGAAACCCCCAGTTTCACCTGTCTGTTGAGATCAAAGTTTTCTCTTTATTAAAGTCAAGTGCTAGGAATGGGAGTGAAAACTATTGAAAAAGTTCCTCATACAATTCAAAACATCCCCAGAAGCGTGCCTGACCGGCTCTTCAAAGTGTGAGTGATTACCTATCATGCATGCGTGCATGAAAGTGTGAGTTCTCCTGTCAAAGTATCCTGAGCAAGTAGAATTTAGTCAGAAATTCCAGGGAAATTTCCTGAAAAAATATCCGTCTGAAAAGACCCTTCACAAAGACTAAAATTGCACCCTTAAAGAAATGTTATGCAAAGAGGCATTATTTTTGTTTTTGAAGGTGAGAGTTACTTAGGTATGATAAGTACTCCAAATTTGAATAATATGAATTTTATAAAATTTCCATAATCAAGTCGTCCTGTGTAATTCGGGGATGCGGGAAATTTTCCCCCTTCCCCTCCTATCGCACCCAATTTTACCTTTTTTCGATTATGGCCCTCAGGGACAGAGAAGGGATTCGAAAAGTCTAAGTGATATTCCCTCACTTTTATTTCGGCAGTGTCAAGTTGTCTCTATAAACCTATCCTCTGAAATTAACTGAGAGTGAAAGTCACGATTAAGTATTTGCCTGCAGATTATAATGAAAGATGATTACTTATGTTAAGTATGCACCTTAAATGTAATTGACTACGTTCTTTTTCTCAGTTAGGTCTGTGTTGGAAGTCGTGACATTGACCTCATTATAATGGATACCTCTTGTTTTACTTAGAACTTTGTGTAATTTCAAGAGTTTATGATGCCGGCGATGGAATTTAAAAATTTTAAAAGCACATTTTGCTCAAAGGTGATGCCGCTGGCCTAAATTCAAAACTTGACGTCACTTTTTCCAAACCAATCGAGTTCAAGTTGGCTGGAGTTGCGCAAAGCTTGTATTTTTGCATCCAGGGGAAATTTCGGCCATCTTGAAGGAGTTGCGAGTGTATGTGATAGTTTAGTTTGTGATTTACAGCAAATGAAGGAGATTTCGCGTTGAAGTCCAGTTATTTAATTTTTTAATATTTTGTTCAAAAGGTAATTGAAATCTTAGTTTGCCGATAAGTGTTTACTTGTGTCAGATAAAGTGCTTTCATTCTGTGTCCTGTGTCATCTGTGAGCTGATATGCTGTCAGGAAGGATGTGGCTTACTACGGCTGTAACCTATCTTGTTCCCGAAAATCCTCGAGATTTTGCCCTTCTTTGATCTTTCTATTCCAACACTTCAGTGTGTGAGCACCCGAAATTATATCTCTCACTTCATTGGGTTCCTTTTATGCCGTTGGATAGCCTTTTTTTACCGAGGATTCCTCCGTATTAAACTGTCATAAACATTCAAGTTTGCATTGCTTGAAAGGGTGCTCCACTAGCATTTTTGTGCATTTTAGCCATTATTCTCCTACTCCCACGCTTTCTTAAACCCAACTCTTGCCTTTGTTCAGCTGCATTTGAATCTTCCTTCTTAGTAATATCCTCCCTGGCTCATCAAATTTTCAAATGTAAGTGTGTAGACATGGTGGCTGTGGCGCTCAGCGACCAAGGATCCTTCATGATGCTTTGGTACTATCCGCACCTTAATCCCATCTCATCCTTTTATTCCTTGTATACTTTGAAGGTCATGAGAGCCTGTACACAATTCTCATTTAGAGATTGATGAAGGTACTGATTTGATCAATTGTTGCACACTTTCTAATGTGCGCTATATCTTTCATTCATACTCTGATGATACAGGGGGTTCAGCCCTCTTCATATACACTGTTTTTTTGCTTCGAATAGTAGTGAGATCTTTTCTGCTGGTTCAATAGTCTGTCTGCTGTTCCTTATTTGAGCAATTTGTTACATCAATGATCCTCATGCATAACATAGTTTTAGGCTCTAACGTCTGATTGCAATGCCATAGATCTATTTCCTAATGTTTCTACCGTCATCTTTCTAATGTATTTTTTATTTCTCTCTCTTTTAGGCTTCATCTGATGGCATTTAGTCTTAAATGTGCATGTCTGATGGCATTTCATTCTATCGGGCTCACAGATTCACGCGTATGATTTTCAGTTCCGTTTTCTAAGTGTTCAATGATGTGCCGGTTCAGTTAAGAATAATTTTCACTCTTGAGACTGCGCTTGGATTGTTTTTTTTCGCTCCATACATATCCGCTGCCTTAACGGATCTCTAAGTTGTCATCGTATAATTGGATTTCGCGCATCACTGTTATTACTTATCCTGATTGAAGTTAGGGGTAAGTCTGTTCAGTTTCTCTCCTTAATAATGAACTCTTAACTTGTTTTTCTACTATCCTCCTCAGATGCTATTAATCTCTGGATTTAATCCTCCTTTATATTCTGAAGTCATGTGCTCACTCTTATCCCGGAGAATTTAAACTGCAATACCTAGTCCTCAGAGGCTTTCTGCCTCCTATACTTCGCATGACCCATCCTGACAATGTCCCTGATTCCTAATGAGCTAAGAAATAGGGGCTGATATCTGTAGATGTTGCTCCTGTACGTTTTCATTCAGTTGGATTTTTAAGCATGAAGAATGTCTAACTTGCAAACTTAATCGATTAGATCAAATATTGTCTTTATTTTATTCTGGTCCAGCACCTTCCACGCACTAGCTTCCATGGTCTTGGATTTCCCAGTAATAGTGCTGAATTTCAAGTTCAAGCCCAGCATAAGAACAACAACAAGGATAAAAATTGTTCAGTATACCACGACTGTTATACGCCGTGTGATGAGAGTATTTGACGAATTACCTGATAGAGTTTGAGTTGATAGTGTTCTCTCAAAAAGAGCACTGAATGGTATTTTTTTTCTTCCCTATTAAAATAATTTAGTTCAAGTTAATGAAGTTCTCTTTAATTTTCAGATGGCATGGTGATAGAAGTGGATTAGGTGGCCTTTGAGTTGTGGCCAGACTGGAGTCTCAACTCGCAATAAGTTGTGAGAATGTCGGCTAGTATGAGACGGGCCCTTCAGACGGTTCCTGAATCGCTCCCAGCTGATCATGTCACCAATTCAAAGGTAAGGCCCTTTATTTTCTTTGTAAGTACGACAAGTGATTAAATCTATTTCGAAGGTTGAGAAGATTTAAAATTAAGAGAGCTGAGAGCCAGAAATGTACCTAAATCAAAAGTTTTACTGAGAAATTGTTTTTTATTCCTGTGTCGTTAGGTTCGAGGACACTCATTTCCTGTGCAGGTTCTCGGCAATCGTTTTGATGCGGAGTTTAATCAATCTATAAAGTCAAATCATGAGTCTCATGATCAGTTACCTACGAGAATTAGTCATTTTTCTTTCCCAGAGAATCAAGATGAAATTTTCAGCTTTTTAATCTATCATGGAAATGTGGATATATCTACTGACTGTCATATCTTAGAATCTTAACAGTTTAGAGGCCGGCATAACGCTTGTCATAATTCAGGAGACAGCGGTCAGTATTACCTCCCTGTATGCTCTATATATTAGACTATATGTGCTGACATTTTCAATCCTAAAGCATCCCAATATGTATTGCCCTCAGGAGACAGATTTTTTTTTGATTCCCTTTGCATTCCTGCCCCTTGTTATGCATGCATGTTATGCACATCTCCTTGTTATGCAACAACGGTTGCCTTGGGCTGGTACATGGTAGGGACGGAGGGGGGGAGGGGCTTTAACTGGAAGCACAAGGATTACCACTTGTGTGGTATTTGAAGTAGTAAAAAAAAAAATAAGTATGTGATACTCCTGTATCTAAAACCATCATCGCTCCTGAAAACTAGCTGTGCATATCAAAGGGTTTCACATTTTTTGGAATGAAATAGAGCACCGACTTGAGGTTTAAGATTCTCGTGACTCAAAATGTTTTCAATTAGGTCTTAAAAGCTGCAGCTTGACCATATGTTAAAGCTGATCTATTGACACAAATTATATCAGGCTCCTCTGCAAAATGTTCCCCTACCGGATGGAGCTTGATTCTGAGATAGAAAATGACTCTGGTCAGGCTACCCAGGGGTAGACCCTGATTTTGTGAGCATGGAAAAACTTTAAGTACTTGCTTCCTTTTGCTGTTTACTTGCCATTGTTTAAGGACTTAACTATATCAACAGAGACAGTAAACATGGAGTGAACAGAGATTTTTCAATTTTCATAATTTGTTTTTAAGAAAGCTGATGAAAGCACAGGCCAGATTTCCCTCATGTACCCTTTAAGATTTAATCCTGTGAAAGTGACTCATTGGTTCAAGTAATCAAAGTATGATTTTTACTTTGTTATATTTTCTCTCAAGGTTTTCTTTCTCACTGCTACCTTATTGTTGTGCATCGATAAGTGATCCTGGAAAACTAATCCTGCCACTTAAAGTTTAGATCTGCAGAATTTTCACCCAAGTTAGTAATCGGAGGAAAGACCAGTTTCCTTGCAAGTTGAATTACTTTCTGTTACTGAGGAGCCTGCTGAATCATTTCAGCTGTTGATGTAGAGACAACTCCTCTCAGTAATAAGGACCACACAACATAAAGATTAGAGAACCCCCGATTTCCCGATTTTCATGCGGTAATAAACCTGAGAATCATGAGCTAGGGGGGCTTGGACTCCCCCTTAACTGAAAACATTTTTGGAGGAAAAAAGGGCATTTTTGTCAGTCCAAAAATTTCCTTTAAGCTGTGTTTGGAATATTATGACCAGAGTTGAGTCATAAATTTGGATAAGGCCCAATTTTGAGT